ACGCTTTTTCGTGGTCATAATGCGGCATTCATATACGTATGTACATATAGTACTCCCTTTTGGTCGAAGTGTGGGCGTGGCAGGTTGGTGGTTGGGGGGCGCTACACGGTGCAGACATTTAAATGCATTTTAATAGATTTTCCACTTTTCCTTTATTTTGTTTGGGTTTTTTTTATGAGCCCTACTATTCCGCAGGAAACGGAAAACAAAACACACACGCGTGTGTATGGGTGGGCGGAAATGGGGGCGGTGTGGGCGGTGGGTAGTGGTTGGGGGGCGTGGTTCATATATCGATAAACCGCAGCAAATCGAAAGAAACATTCTTTGACACAAACAAATAAGCGAAGCGCGAACAATAAAATCAAATTAAATGCAGCAGAAAAGGAGCAATTTACTCGAGTCCTTTTCTTGCGGGGTCCATTTGTTTTTCTTGTCCTGTGAATTAAAGGCGCCTGGTCATTGTGGAGCCATTAGCGGTCCTCGAGCGCCCCTGTTTTCACCGCTTTCCCTGCTTTCCCTGTTTTTTTTTGTGCTGTCAGCATGAAAATTGGAAAATTTATTGACTGCACATATGTCGCACTTTTTCCATTGGCTCCTGCCAACAGGACACAGTTGTTGTGTCCTTAATGTTTGCCCTCGCCTAATGCACACATAAATATTTTAATTTGTATGCCGCAGATGCCGTTTGGCTCGATTGAGTTGTCCTTCGCTCGATGGCGATGAGGTCCTTATCCCTTTGGCCACTTTAGTGGTCGAATCGAGCCCCAATCCAATCCAATCCTTCATATCCTTAACGATTGTCACGGTTTGATGTGCCCGACAGTGATTGGGTCACGTGCCGCAATCCACAAGGGACTCCTTAAATGCCAGTTCATCGATTGGGCTCATCGGTATTCATCGGTTTCTTGAGGGGGTAATTATTTTATATTCAAGCATATAGTGCATCTAAGAATGTCACCTTGAGCTATGAAGTGTATTCAAATTTTTCAGAGTTTGCAAAGTGTGTTAAGTATCATGTTATAAAGTTCATTGGATTAATTCGAGTTTATCACGCTTTTAATAGTATTTATTACATTTTAAAAATAGGTATAAACAGATTTTAAAGATACCATAAGATTATAAATTAATACAAATCAGAAGCTTATTCCATAGTTTTAAATTTCTACATTTAATTTTCATATATAACTTACTAAACTGGCTGATATTCAGAAAGTTCCTATAGGTATAGTTGCATAGTTTTGCAGTTTCTATAGAAATGTATTAAACAAGTTTTAACAATATTTCTGCTCGATCAGAACATTAAATACAAAAGCAATTAAATGTACCCATATTATAAAACTAGAAAATCCATTAAACCATCCACCAATTCAATCTGGACCTGTATAAGAAGTACTATTATAATACTTGCGCTCGATCAGAGCTAAATATAGGTGCCATAAATTAAGAAATTACGTTCTGGGGATTCCATATCTGTATTATAATCCCCAGGCAAAGTCAATCCATCGTTGAGCTGTTTATCTGGAGCCTTTTGCCAATCGGGATTGCGATCTTGTTGCGCGATTATCCCTTAACCACATGTCATCTTAGCCCCCACCCTCGATTTATATTCCTAGCGAGATCCGAGATCTGCACCCGCATCGGGCCAAAAAAATACGAGCCATATGCCGCTGCAAGGATCTTTGGCCAGAAGACAAAGGGCCAGGGAACCCACACACAGGACTCGGAGTTCTCGACCGCAGGACACGACCGAAATTTATAATCACCGATGACCATGTCAAACACGCCCACCGCCAACGCCCCCCGAACAAAAACAAAAAATAGAAGGAAATGGAAATGTGAAAAGTGGAAAGTAAAAACTAATAAATACCAAGTGCCGATGAAACATAAAACATTTTCTAGTTAAGTCATCTTCGATCATCTCGGCCGCAGGACCTTTTTTAGACACGCTTGCTTAGCGCAGGCAGCGAGATAATCTCAACTCAATTTGCTGTCCTTTCGAAGGACCAAAAGGATCGCTGGAACCCCGAGCGCCGAACATCAAAACACGGTTTCTGTGGAAATGTCAAAGGCGAGAGAGAGAGAAAGTCAAGTGCGCGAGCAAAGCGATTATTTATAGCCCCGATCAAAATTAGAGCAATATCTGGTTACCCCAAACTTCGGCAGCGCCACTTGAGAATCTGAGTGTTCCAGATCCTTGAGGATCCTTGAGGACCCTGGGATCCGAAGCGTGCCCAGAAGTCGAAGTTACTCGAGTCGAGTATGTGTGACAACACTTTGCGTTTGGTTTTGGGCTTGGATCCTCGAGTGGCCATAGGTGTGGTGTCAGCTAGCCACAAATTCTGGGAACTTCCCGGCTGCTGATCTAATTCCCTGCCGCTATCCTAAGTGGTTACTCATGTCCCAAAATCTGGTTGTCTTGTTCGTTTTGTGATGTGATTTCATAATTTGTTTAATTTGTGTTTTCTAACAGGTCTCGGGCAAGTACTTTTCCACACAGCCCAAGGTAAGATCTATTAAATCTCACACGAATGATATGAAACTGCATAGACAGTGGCATTATAGTTCAATATAACACCGTATATAACAAATATTTTCTAATTCCTTGAGTATTTTATGTAATTTTAGTTAAGATAGTTTAAATTAATTTATTTTGTGCGAGCCCCTCAAACAAAATAATTAGAAGACACAAAAAAAAGAAAGGAAATTCCAATCCTGCTTTATTCCACATAGCCCAAAGTAAGATCTCTTAAATCTCACACGATTGATAAGAAACTTTATAAATGGATGCATTTTAGTTAAATACATCATCGTATTTACAAATTAATTATGACTTCTTGGGAATTTTATACATTTTAAGTTTTAAATATCATAATAATATCATCACTATAAAATAAAAATAAATGTCTTAAGCCTCTTACAATTATTATAAAATTAAATTAATTAAATAGTTTGATTATACCTGAATTCAACACTTTAGAGAAATGTAGCATTGTTTTTAGGTCAGAGACTTTCCAGTTTATATTATTTTTTAGGCCCAATACGTTTAGGCAATAGAGTCAAAATCTATATATATAATCATTTATAAGGCCTCACCAACTAATATTTCCATCGACTCTGTAACCCATACTTAAAATTACACTTTCGCCCGGCCAAGAGTTGGTGGAGAGCACTTTTCGAGCCATTAAACCGACCAAAACAGAAAAGACGAATACCTCATGTTCGGGTTACCTCCTCTACGCAATAAAAAAAAAAAAGAGACGAGGAGACGTGAAGAAAAATTAACAAATCATAACATCATCATTTATCATCATTAAGCTGCGAGATTTTATATTTTGTATTTCTTGTAGTACTTTTTTGTTTTTTTTTTTTATTTGAAGACTTTTCCCTTTTGGTTATGTTTTATTTTCCTTCGCTGACCGCAGACTTCAGTTATAAATCAATCAGATTTTGTTTGCCATTTAGTGGAGCGCCCCGAAAAAAGGTGGTGGTGGTTGGGGGTGGGGCGGAAAGGGTTTTCGGGGTTTGGGGTTTGGGGTCTTAACGCGGCCAACGCGGCGTATGATTAACGTGCGTGTGAAGTTGTTGGGCTGCCCCATCACACCCTCCTTCTCTACGGAGAGGTTTCTCCCCCGATTTTCCATCTACGAAGAGTCTCTCGCCCAATCCCAACCGAGGCTGAGGTTGTCAACCGCTTGCACAAATGCATCGGAGAATCAGAGAATCGGAGAATCGGGTATCCCAAAGATGGTAAGGAGTTGGCCCAGTTGTGGGCGTGGCACGTTCGGGGGCTTGGCGCTCACTCAACTTGAAAATTGATTGATGCCCGGGCAGGGCAGCATAAATCAATATTTTATATTGGCCGCAATCGATCTGCATCGCTATCTGCATCGCTTCACGGCGGATCGGATTGGATCGATCTCCTCTCCGGCGATTTGATTGCCAATCTTCACGCCATCATTGCTTTTTTTGTTCTCTTGCCGGGACAAAAAGTTTCCCATTTAATTATAAACCCTCTGTTGGGCAATTCATTTTGGGCTGGCCGAAGTGGGATAGTCGGTAGAGCTAAATTGACTCTCATTGGTTGCCTTTAGATTGAATATATGCCCGTTCTGAGTTATGATCCCCAGTTGAACTAGGAGGCAACTTGGGGAACATGAGATTAAATTAATTTAGCAGCTGGAAATTATTCAGATCTGCAAATGACAAGGCGAAAATAACTTGATATCACTATTTTTCGAACCGAAAATCTCGTAAGCCTCACAGGATTGTTATGAAACTTGGTACACATTTGTATTTCAAACAAATATAGCATTACATGAAGCAATCCCATGAATACCCACATTCAATAGGTATATTTTTTGCAAATTCAACTTCAAATTTAATAATGTTTTTACTGTTTTAAAGCGATGGCCGATGGTAATGCAGACAGGTATAACGATGGCTTTAGAAAAAGTTTCTATTATTCAAGTCCCGCCAAAGATCAGCGCACCCAAAGCAGATCAAGTTCGCCGGAAGTCGAGAAGCTTCCTGGGTCCCTCTTTATACGCTAGAAACCACCCCTGATCGAGATCAAAACAACCCCGAAATAAAACCGAACCATAAACCCATAAACAAGGGTGCGTCGGGATCGGGTGCTCCCCGAGAATAATAAAAACTGGAATTGCTTTGTTTTCCGATATAATTTTGTTCGTTTTTTTATTGTTAGGATTTCTTGTATGGGGAATTTGTCGCCTTGTTTTTTTGCTTTTTGTTGTTGTATATAATTTATCTTAAAGACAATTAACAATTATTATGGTACACAACTAGATGGTTTCTCGCATTCTATATGGTATGGCTTATAAAACGATGTATATGTATGTACAGACATGCAAAAAAAAATGTCTTAACTAGGTTTTGGGGGAAAAAAAATTGGAAAAAAATTCAAGTTCTAGAGCTAGTTAATAATATAGTTAATATATATATATATATATGTTTATAATATTATATAATGTCTTATGGGGTATTTGTGGATTTTTTTTTTTTCGATTTTCACATATATTTTTATATCAACAATAAACACTGAAAAAAAACACACACTAGAGGTTCGTTCTACGCTTGCTTTGTTGCCTTTTGGGTTGCGGGACTTTATGGCATTTTTGTTTTTCAACTTTAAACTGTATAACAATCTGGGGGGAATCCCTCTTAGGAATCCTAGGCGGTGGCATGCGGATGATAGGCCGCTGCCCAGGCGTTGTGATGGTGTGGATGCGGATGAGGATAGCCGTAGCTGGCGGTGCCCGCTCCAAATTCAGCCGGATAGCTGGCCGCATACTCGGACTTCATGTGGCAACTGGAGCTGGAGTCCTGGCTGGCCCCGCTGGCCAGTCCGCTCATGGTCAGCCCGTATTCCGCCGCCAGCTGGGACTCACTCTGCATGGCCAGGGCGGCATAGTGATGCTGGGCCAGTGCCGCCGTGGCGGAGGCGGCTGGGGAAGATGCCGATCCGGTGGCGGAGACGACGGCCGCTGCCGCCGGCGAACCGGCGCTGGATGATGAGGATGAACTGGCTGAGGTAGTGGCTGGTTGTATGGCACGGCTGCTCCATGGCTCCACGTAGCTCGTCGTCGTCGACGACGACTGATGATGATGATGATGCTGCTGGAAGAGTGGCGGCGGTGGTGGTGGAGGATTGGCGGATGAGGAGGTGGCCTGCTGGTAGAGATTCGCATAGGGCGCATAGTTGACCAGCGGTGCCGTCTGCTCCGGCTGCTCCTGCTTGAACTCCACGGGCGGGGTGAGTGGCGGCTTGCCCGCCTTCTTCTCCTTCTTCTCCAGCTTTATCGCCGCGGCAGCCTGCTCCTTGGCCTCGGCGGCCAGGGCCTTCTTGCTCTTCTTGTCCTTGAAATGGGTCTTCTTGTGCTTGCTGAGGTGATCGCTGCGCGAGAACTTCTTGGAGCAAATGGGGCAGGCGTATGGGCGGTAATTGGTGTGCGTCCGGCCGTGCCGCTGCAGTTCGTCGGAGCGCGAGAAGCGCTTGCCGCAGGTGAGGCAGAGGAAGGGCCGTTCGCCGGTGTGCCACCGCAGGTGGGTCTTCAAGTGGGAGGCCTTGCCGTACAGCCGCTCGCAGCCGGGAATGTGGCAGATGTGCTGCTTGCGACCGCGCTCGTCGGGACCCACAATCGGCGGCAGTCCGCTCATCTCGTTCGTGCAGTTGGGGCACGTGCAGCGAACGGAGCGCCGCTGCAGCTGGGTCTGGAAGGCGATGTCGTCGAAGTTGAAGCCCGGATAGCTCTGGGAGCTCCAGGGCTGGTAGAGGCGCTCCTGGTGCGAGAACCAGGCCGCCGAGGAGGACATGCCCACCGCATTGCCGTAGTAATCGGAGGCGTACTGGGCATACGGGAACTGACTTCTGGAAGAGCAAGGAAAATGGAAGGGCGCCTGGTTATTTTTGCATTTAAGACATTTGCTTAATAAATCACATAATATAGTTATTTTTCTACGATTTCTATCTAACCACTGCTAGCACTTAAAAATATTTTATTAATAGCTTTAATCACCCTTTGATTCCTATTATTAAAAGCTGAAGCCCTGAATATGTTTGCAAACATCGTTATAAAGTGGTGCTGTATCAAATTAACCTATCATTTTCACAGCTTTGATATCAGATCTGTATTTATGAAATGAGTTTATTTTTAAGATTATATCCTGAAGATTTATTCTGATTGAACTGTAATTTAGTAATAATGGTTTCGTAATTCAGAAAAACTTCAAGATATCTATCCATTACGTTCCTCATTCCTTACGCTACCATCCCAAAATATTCTCTTATGGGTATTGTGACCAATGGTTCTCTAATCAACTTCAAATGTGAATCTTTAAGACACTCCAATTATCCCAATATCATAAAGATTCTGTTTTAAAAGCATTTCTATGATCTCATCTCTAGCTGGCGATTAACTAAAAACAAGATGCGATAAGAGGCTACCATCTTAAAGTAATCAAAAATCTGATGATGGTGCATAAGGATATCCATAGAATTTATAATAATAATAATATCTTAACTTGGGATAAGATACGATAAGGTACTCCCTCTAACTATACCATCTCAACGTAATTGTAAATAAGAACTTATAATGGTATTATATGGATATTCACCTTGGGGCTCCCAATCCGGGGTAGGCGGTGTTCCAGCCGTAGGCGGCACTGGCGACCGCCGCTGCTCCTAGGTCCGCTGCTGCGGCTGCCGCTGCTGCCGCCGCCGCCGCCGCAGATGCCGCCGATGAGGACGACGGCGACGAGGATGTGGATCCCGCAATCGCTCCCCCTCCCGCTCCACCACCCACTCCGCCCGCCGAGGTGGGTGGCACCAAAGTGCTGGTGCTGGTGGGCGTGGAGGGACTGGCCGAGATGGAGGCGAATGACTGGGCGGGCGATGGGAAGATGCTGGGCGAGACGGAGGCCGATGAGGGCGCCGACTGGATGCTGGAGTTGGGCGAGGCGGTGCCCGTGGAGGAGGCCTGCGGATAGGGCAGCTCCAGCTTCATGGCCGGCTTGCCAACGGAACGGCCGTAGATGGGTGAGCTGCCGGAACTGGAGCCGGAACTCGATGAGCCGGAGAGGGACGAGGGGGCGGACAGCAGGGCGGCGGCGCTGAGGAAGTCATGTGGCTGCGGCTGCTGTTGCTGTTGCTGCTGCTGTTGTTGCAGTTGCTGCTGCAGTTGTTGCTGCTGCTGCTGCTGCTGTTGCGGCAAGTGTTGCATGTGCTGTTGCTGCTGCTGCGACAAGTGCAGGTGATGTTGCGCCTGCTGCATGTGCAGATGATGCTGCTGTTGCGCCTGCTGCTGTTGCGACTGCTGCTGCTGTTGCGTCTGCTGCTGCTGCTGCGCGTAGGGATTCAAGTAGTTGCAGGCCGCATCGATCATGTTGAAGGGGGCTTTCCTTGCGTTTTCCTCTCGAAATGGAAATGTGACTCTGATTTCTCGACTGCTGCTACTGTGTGCTTCGTTAGCACTTTTCGCACATTGCTCTCGCGCGCACTTATTGATATTCGCTCGCGTAATTATGGCACGCTTTTCACTTTAGTTTTATAATTATAGTCTTTTGCCGCGGCACACACGTAATTGCATGCACATGCGGTGGCGAACACGGAAAAAACACAAACAAATTAAAGGCGACCGAAAATTCGCCAATGCGCTGTAGTGCACATATATATATATCGGCGAATATATATATATATATATAGATCCAAAAACGAGCGAGTTTCTCTGCTGCTGCTGCCTCTTCTTCTTGCTTCTTGCTGCTTCTGGCTGCTGCTGCTGCGCGTGATGTGATACAACCACCGGTAATTATCGTCGATTGTCGACTGAATTCCAAAACGCGGCGAGAGAGTCTAACAACGTACAAAACGAATCACTTGGCTGCGGGCAGCGGCGCGGGCAGAGAGCGGGGCAGCGGCAGCGGCGGCGGCCGAGCGCGCTAGTGCTGTCCTGCTCTGGCGCACGCCCTGCACATGCCTCTCTCTGGCAGCCCTCGCTCTCCCTCTCTCGCTCTCGCTGCTCTGGGGGGTTACAATCATGGTGGTTGTTTTTTTTATTTGCCTTCGGGGCAACTCTCTTGGTCTCGCTCGCTCTTGTGGCCCACACTGCTTGCCAGTCCCTGGAGCAGCACTCTCTGGCCCTCTCTTTCTCGCTCGAGAGACGTGGCTCTCTTCTCGGTGTTGTTTTTGCTTCTGCCGCCGCGGGCGTTTTTGTGTGTCAAAGCAATTGGGTGAGCATGCTGTTGTTGTTGTTGTTGTTGTTGCCTCTGCGGTGCATATGCTGTTGTTGTTTTTGTACCTGCGGTCAAACTTTAAGTTTTGGCCACAAATGTTGATCTATCTTTAAGCCAAATCTTTATGGGCTAAAGTTTTTACTTAGAACTTTTAACTATACTCAGCTGGGGATTTTTAAGGAATATTTTTATTATTGAAAATTAATATTTGCAAAATAAAATCATTTACCTTTACATAAAAAGAAAATGTTCGACTCAACAAGAATTGAAAAGAATTTTTTTTGGTTTATTTAAATTTAATCATTTGACAATTAATAGTTCGAAAATTAAATTATTTACTTTTATTTAAAAAATTAAAATCTGTTTGTATCTTTGTGGTTTTAACAAAGTACATAGGATCTTTCGATTTTTTCTGAAAATTATCCATCAGAAAAAACATTTCCATGAATTCAAACATTTTGAGAAAGGTTTATTAATATGCGGCACACAAAATACATTTACATAGTTTTTAAGAAAACATTGCTATTTTCGTTATAACAAAATTCTTTAAGTGCTCATGCAAAATTAGACCGTAAATTACTTCTGTATTTAAAACAAAATAACACCACACGTAACTTTCGAGTATTTTCCCACCCGATTTAAGATGGCCATAAATTACTCCGCTTTTTACACATTTCAAGTACCTTCATTATGAGCACGAATATCTGCTTAAATTCCCATTATCCCTCAACCCATTCAGCCCTTCAATTTGTTTCGATGAAAGTAAGCAGACGGAAAAAAGCATGGCTCATCATTTTAATTAAATTAAAATTTCTGTTTAATGGCATTTAATTTTTCATTTTACGCCCGAGAACCCCAAACAAAAAGAAGAAGAAAACGAGTCAAAAGAAGAAGAAGAAGAGGAAGAGGGAGCGGGCATAATTCAAATATCAATACAATAACAATAAAAACTAATAAATTTGTGGTCGCGGCCCAATGAAATAACTGTATTTAAAGGGGCGTTGACCAAACACCACCACAAAAGAGACGGCAGCTCTCTCTTTCGCTCTCTCTTGCCCGCGCAGGCCATTCCATTGCGCTCCCTTTTTATTATGCGGCGTCTTTTTTATTACGCATACGCAACGTGGACCGGGCCGCAAATTTTACGATTTGCTGCTGCTGTGAAAAGATAATGATGACTCCCAAAACGAAACGAGCCCTCCGAAGGGCCTCTCGACGTTTGTGTTACCCCTTGAAAGCGCGGGAAGTTAAAAAGGAAGCGATTCTCCGCTTAATAGGTCATTATTAATAACTCTTTTAAAAATCATCCAACTGATATGAAAATTGGTATGCCCATGTATTATGGCTAAATACATTTGCATCCCAAAAATTTCCTCGTTTCGAACATTGCCTCCGTGTATAAAGAAGAACTCGAGGCAAATCCTCCTGTATCCCAAGTATTTCCCCTTTTTGAATGTTTGCTCCATAGGGCAATATATTATGTTCCTCCAATATCATTTGATTTTAATGGCAATCACTATAAGGAATGATAGCTAAGCTAAGGAAGAGAATAATCAAGAGAGGTATGAGGTAAACATTGTAGTTCCTAACTAAGTATTAAAATATTTTTCTAAATACTTTTCAGTCCCATATGCCCAGCTTGTGCTTTACTGGGTATGCGACTGGGACTTCTGGGCAACATGTAATGAAACGGAAGATACAATTATATTGAGGCAAGCAGGGCAACAACAAGGAGCCTGTCTCGTGCTCGGCCCTCCCCTCCCTGCCCCTCCCTGCCCCGATTCTTCCCGCCCTTCATCCTGTTCCTCTGGCTCCTTTGGCCACCGAAGATTTATGACAATGGTGAAGTCCACTAGACTTGAAGACCGTCTGCCTGCGCCTGCCGACCCCCTCCGCCCTCCGCCCTCCTCTTTCCACCCCAGACCCACCCCCTTTTCAGGGACTTCCCTTGTCCTTGTTCTTGTTCTGGCTCTTCTTCTTGTTCTTGTCCTTGGGCCACAACGTCGCCGCATAATCAATTAGCAAAAAGTTGGCAGCAACAGCAAGGAAAGTTCCTACTATCCCTATCTACCACCACCGCCCACCAAGGAACACGCCCACTTTTTTGTACCACTAGGTCAAATGAAGTTGGAAAATCGCTTTGGGGATTGGGAGCAGGGGAAGACGGTAGTTTTCCTTCTAAGGGAAACTTTAAAGGAGCCTTAGGTATACGAAAATGCATTACATTTAGATATTCCTGAGATATTCTTATGTACTCTTAGGCATAGGAAAGTAATAATATCAAGTACAAAAGATCTAACAAATATCCTTAATTGATATAGATCCAAATAAACCCCTACTTACCTACACTTAAGATCGTAACCGAATCGGATAAAAGTGATCTTTAGAAAAAAGTAAAGGAAAGTATCATCAAATTGTGCTAAAAATATACTATCGACCAAATCGTGACATAATTGATCTGTAAAGCTGCCCAAATATTATGCAAAATGAGTCCTAATCTATTTTGAGGAAGTGACTCCCTTCAATCCGCTTCTCTAGTCCGCACAAACACAGTCAAGCCCACGTCCCCAACAGAACCGATCTTAACCATTCCAATCCATGGCGATAATCAATTGATTAGCCGCGACGAGCCCACCAAACAAGGCGGAGATCAGAGATCGCCTATCGGGGCAGGTAGAAAATCGGGGGTTGTGGAGGGCCTAAGCTGGGCTTAGGCTGGAAAAGTTTTGACTTCGTCGCATCAAAGCTCCTCATCCGCGGGATTTTTCGCTGGATCGTCTCTAATCCCGAAAGCGGACAGCCTGGAACCCTTCCAGGATTATCCCGTCTTGTTTTGCTACCTAGCCCCCGACTCGGTTACGCCTGAATCGTAATTATTGATTCTCGATCCTGATCGCAGTCCTTTGGCAGATTAATGCGACATCTTCTGGTGCTCTACACTCAGGAAAATAAGAAGGGGTACTTTTTGCTTTCGAAATATATCAATTTCTTAGATGATAACTGTTTTTATATGGCTGTAGCTATAAATCTAAAAAAAATCTATCCCCAACCTAAAGCAGTTGAGTCAAAGAATTCAAATATTCCTACGGTAGTGAAGGTGCCTTCTAAAAAGTATTCGCCCTGAATTTTAGTAATTTAAGTTAATAGCGATTTTTTCTTTTAGCTAGAGATAATATTTACTCCTAAAAAGGCATTTTTCAGATAAAGTAAATTTACCTCATAAATCAATTTTTCCTAAAATTAAAAAAAATGACATTTACTTTGAAACTAGTTTTATATTTTTGGGTAGTAGTTGGCCTACAAAATACCTGCAAGTTTCTAGGGCCAGAATCAAAAGGCGTAGAGTCACCCGCATTTTTTCCGAGTGCAGCTATATGGCTCTCCCATCGGTTTTTGGTGGTCTCGGATTAAACCGCACCCCTTGACCAAAGGTCCTGTGGGCGGTGGGCGGTGGGTGGCTGGGTGGTTTCGGGGCTGCCGCGGGGTGCCATAAATGCATAATCCACGTTTTACGATCGCTTAGCAGGAAAAGTCAAGGGATCGTCTGCGGTAATCCGAAAGAAAGGGGGCAGGTAGCCGAAGGATTCAAGAAGTATTCAATTGAAATGGCTGGCTTGCCGGCTCGTAATCCATTCCCTTTGCGACAGGACCCAGACCCGCAACCTTAACCCGTTATGCAGATTTGTGTTAATTGGATTTATGGGGATTTTCGCATCTAAATCCTTTCACTGTCTGCAAATATTTTGGCCTTTCTAGCGTCTTCGCCCCGTTCTTCGTCGAGATTAGATTAATCTCCGGGGTTTTTTCGCCAATTGACTTTGTATATCTTGTATACCTTGTTTCTGGGACCTATCGCTAACTATCTTTGACTTCTGGACAATCTCTGACTTTCGCAAAAGCTGATCTGGGTTTTGTATCTCAGTCGTTGTCTTATCGTTTTACTTTGGTAATAATACGAAAAATCAAACATTTTGAATAGAGGAATTGTGATGATAAATATTATTTTTCATCTAAAAACAGGTTTCTTTGAGATAATTCTATTTTTATATTTTGAGAATAAGCCCTATTTATTTTATTAAAAATATTATTGTTAATCTATAAGTTAACTTCTTTGTCTTATCATTTTATATTATTAAAAATAATCACCTATTGAGATAGTAGCAGCTCATATATTCTGACTATGGTTTGACTTAAGAAAACTTAAAAGACATGAATATATTAAATGAAGTGGGACTTGTGCTGGCATTATCGACGAGATGCAACAGATGGCAAAGGAATTCATCTAGCAGGTCCAGGCAACGCCCCCTCTTTTTTTCACCCTTCCCTCCAGAATATATCCAAACACACATAGAGCTCGACTCGATTTACCCAAGTGTATCGGCTGTTTGACGACAGATTGCGCAATCCTCAGGCCTCATCGCAAGGTCGTGCCGCGCCCCCTTTGACCTTTTCGGGGCGCACTTGTGGCCATCGGGATCGCAATCGATTTAGGAATTGGGTTCGTGTTCGGGTTAGGGATCTTTGGACTTCCACTGAATTCTCTAATCAAGCGGCAACGATGCAAAAAAAAACACACACAGT